TCATCTTGAACTGTCTCCCATCAATGGCTCAGTTTGTTGGAGAGGTAATATCAGGTGTTCCTGTGTTGACATTGAAGAGAGAAAGGAGAACATGAGGACAGCAGGGAGAGGTGGTTCTAGTCAGGTAGGGAAGGGACCTCCACTGGGAGCCTTCCGGCGGGGCGGTGAGGACGGAGACCCTTCCTTGGCATTACCATTGGAGATGGCTGCACTGCACACTGGTCATGCCCGACCCTGGGCACCAGCTCTGCCAGCCTGGGCAAAGATTCCTGGGTCCTGATTTAGCAGTAATGACACCCAAATCAGAGGCCTGTGAGATACTGGGCAAGCAGGAGAGAGTGTGACCGGTGGGGTGAATGAGGCCCTGCCTTCCCCAGCTTCCTGGGCTCCAGGAAGCAAGTCCCAAGGACTCCTGGGTGACGTGGGGGAAGGGAAGGCAGCCCCATTAACCGAGGAGACTCATTTCCCTGCCAGCTGGTCAGGATGGGGCTCTGAGTTGAATTTAAATAAACCCAATCTCATCTGGTTCCCATTTTTTTTAAATGTAACATCTTTTATCTACCTGGGCTTGTGGCGGAATTCCTACCTCCTGCTATAGCCAGCACTCAGAACACTGTATTGGCTGTTCCAAGGTGCATCCCTGGGCCAGGTGAACCCTGCAATGGGTCTTCTTTATGTCCCTCAGGGAAGTTGCTGAGGAGACCCTGACCTTGCAGACCATCTGGGATGATGTGGCTTCATGGGTCCCCTTTACCAGGTTGTGGTAAACTGTCAGTTCCTTGAACACACAAGCCCCTGAACCCATGCTGAGATCCCCCCTCACGGGTGATTTCTCTGACTAGAGCCACCTGCCCACAACTGCTGTGGGCACATAACACGGGCACAGCCCCCACCTAGACCCCTTTTACATAAGCTCCCTCTGTGCCACTCCTCTTCCTAGAACAGCTCTGTAAACTTTCTTCCTGTGACCATTCATCATGGGAAATAGCAGAGTAAAAAGAGACAGGGCTTGGGAGCAGAAAACCCATAATCTCCAATGTTGACCTTACCACTAGGACGGGGCAATCTGCTTCCCTGGTTGTGTCTCAGTGTAAAATGGCAATGAGAGCTGCTTCCCAGCAAAGGAAGTGCCAGGTAAGTGGCAAAATGCTCTACTGCTATAAGAGGTTCTTAAATGTAAGGGACCGGCTTCTCCCCCTTCTCCCTTTAGTTCTCCCTTTAGAGAACCAAACCTGGGGCTTCGGCGCATTGGTGCCGTTTTCTCTTTATCTGGACAGCACGTGGGCCAGAGCTTTGCACACTGAGATCTCTGGTTCACGTTAGCATAAACAGAATGGTTACATAAAAAGGGTTGCGTGGCCCTTAAATCCAGCTGTTGTACCTGCTCGCAGCAGTGGCGCTAAGATCTGGCTCTGCCCCTACCTCTCCAGGCTCTAGCAAGTCCCTGATCTCTGCGGAAAGTATGCCAAACAGGAAACAGCAGATTTGGTTCCAGTCCTGATTCTTGCACTTACTGGATGTCATTTAACCTCAAGCAAGTTTTCCCAGCTGTGGAATAAATAAAGGGGGCAGAATGAAGAGCATGAAGAGAGCTTCCACCTCCCAGCCCTCGGTTTCCCTGTCAGTGCAGCGTGTCCCGTGTGAGCAGAGAAGGAGCAGAGCTAGTGTCTGGCCTCCCCTTGCCCCTACAGCCTTTCAGGACAGCAGCCCTTTGAGGTCTTTACTCCCTTCAACTTGTGGGGCCAGGGGGACATATGTACTTGGAGAAACTGAGGGGGCTGGGGTACAGGGACCCGCAGCTGGCCCCACTCTGCCCCAGCCCACCCGGAGAGCCCCAGTGAGCTCATGTCTGCAGTGACCTCACAGCTCATAACCAGGATGATGAGATAAAGCTGGCAGCCAGGCACAGGTGAGAAGTGATGGTGTCTCTTTAGGAATGTGCTGCCCAATTAAAATGGCCTCCCAGTGGGCTCAGGTGGATGCTGGGACTTCTCCCCTCAGCCATGCTGGCCAGCCTCCAGGCTGAGTTGTTCTGCAAGCATTTATTGAGGGCCTACTATGCACCAGGTGTCGAGCTGAGTGCTGGGGAAACAGGAGGAATAAGAGCCACACCAGAGAGTATAGTCCATCTGTCCTAGACACACTTTTGGAAGCAGATTGTCAGAAAGCCTCGAGGGTTCTGCTGCTTAACCTTCAGAGCCCCTTTATTGTCCCCACTAACCTGAAGCTCTGTCTTCTCCTCCCCACAGGCCCCAGCCCTTAGCCTCTTTCTCTTCCTTCCAAAGTATCCATAGCCCTCAACCTTGCTGGGCCTACTCTTCCTCTTAAGCTGGTAGGAATCGGGCTGCTGTCTCTTCACCTTCCCTACTTTTGTGGCAGCCTGCACAACCCTCTGTAACGTCCATCCATAGTACAGTCATTAGGCTTATTGTACCCTGTCCTTGCCAGGGTTCCAGTAGAGGCCACAAAGTGAGGTGACACCTATATTACTAAAGGATGGGCTCGATCCTCAGATTCCCTAGGCGAATCCCTGTCAGAAGTGAGTCCTTAGACAAAAAAACGGAACTTGGAAGACAGGCCTCAGACAGACAAGGGGCCTCCCTCTCTCTAAGGGCATGGACCTCAAGGACAGACATTAAAAAAGAATAGAAACGTAAGTGTGGTCTGCATGGTGTGTGGTTAAAGCAGTCAAACTGGTTGTGCTAAAATCTAGGCTTTCGCCCGGCCAGTGTGGCTCAGTGGTTGAGCGTCGATCTGTGCACCAAGAGGTCACCAGTTTGATTCCCGATCAGGGCACATGCCCAGGTTGTGGGCCTGATCCTCAGTGGGGGCATGCTGGAGGTGGCCAATCGATGTTCTCTCTCATCGACATTTCTCTCTCTCTCTCCCTCTCACTTTCTCTCTCTCTAAAATCAATAAAGAAAAAAATAATTTGGGGGGAAAAAACGATCCAGGCTTTCCCCTTAACTCTGTGCCTGTATCTTTCAGGGTTTCATTCCACTGTGAGAAAGAGACTGTCAAAAAACACCACAATTTTGAGGGGTGGTTATTTTTCTCATGTAATGAGAAGTCATAAGATAGGAAGTCCAGGGTCTGAATGTGGCTCCAAATGCCATCAGGAACCCAGACTCCTTCTACCCAGCCTTCTTAGCGTGCACTTCTTGCCTCCTGGTTACAAGATAGCTGCCCCACCTCCAACATCAAGTCCAAATGTCAAACAGAAAGACGAAGATCAGAGGACTAGTTGAGTCTCCATCCCTTTTAAGAAGTTTTCCTGGAGATCCCACACAACTCTGCTTACATCTCTTTGGTTTGAATTGGCAGGAAAGGCTCAGAAACACACACACACACACATATCCTCACCCTAGGATATTTTTCCATTGACTCAGATGGGGGGGTGAGGACACCAATGTGTGAGAGACATATCGATTGGTTGCCTCCCGAATGACCCTGACCAGGGCTGGACAGAACTGCAACCAGATACATGCCCTTGACCAGAAGCAACCTCTCAACTCTTTGGTCCGCCAGCCAATGCTCTTAACCACTGAAAACCGGTCAGGGCTGGGAAATATATTTTTAATTGAGCATATTGTTGCCCCCAACAAAATCAGATTTGTATAAATAAAGAATATAAACTGGTATAGTGTTTGCAGGGAGAGAGGTAAAGACCAGATTTCAGGAAGGAGAAAGTGTGGGCAGAAGTGGAAAATGGCTCCCTGTTGCTTCTGGCAAAGATTTCTTGCTTGACCAAACTTTAGTCAGGTTCCTGAACCTTGTCCTAGGTACCTCTATGCACTTATTATAAAATCCAGTTCTTTCAAGAGCTCCCAACCCTTGGTATCTGATCACCTTCAAATCTGGTTGGATTCCTCATCCTTCACTATCCCCCAGGTGATGTCTGATCACCCTGGCCTGTCTTCAGCAAGAATCCTTGTAGGTCAATTTAGCCAAAATACCCCTTACCCCTAATGTTTCCTCTGAGTAATTTTCCATCCACTGACCCTCACCCTGCTCTTGGCTGTAAATCCCTACTTGCCCATGTTGTATTCAGAGTTGAGCCAGATCTCTCCCATCACAAGACCCCACTGCAGCGGTCCCAACATCTATTGCCATGACCCTCTTAAACAAAGTCTGCCTTACTGTTTACAACTGTCATGCAGTATTTTTTTTTTCTTTAACACTTCTTACTCTAAAGGCTCAGGGGGGTGATTGTGACCAGCAGTCGGGCAGGTGGCTAGACAAGCGCAGGGGCCTCAGACTTCCCCACGGGAGAATGAGGAGAGACAGGTAGAGGCGGCAGAGACCTCGGAGGTGTCCAGCCTCACTCTCCATTGCCAAGTAGGCCCCTCGTTCACTCAGTTGAGAATCCCTCCTCTTCCCAAGCATCATCTTTAGTAACTTCACCTGCTTAATGTCCGCCCTCACTTCCTTCTGCTACAGGCTAAGCTCAACCTGGCAGTATCTAGAGAGAAACCCACCCTTTAAAAAGTGTTCTCGAATCCCTTAGGTGCCCTTTTTGCATGTGGAGGCTGGGGAAGGGATGTCCTAAAACAGGATGAGGGCAGGTTTGGTGTCTTCTGCATCTTTGTACCTTCAGCGTCTACATAGTCCCTGTACTCAAAAAAGTAGGCGAGAATGGCTTTGGCCGCCGGAGCCTCCTCACTCCTCCTAGGGCAGGCGGAGAGACATTCAGCTCCGGAAACTTGACTGGAGCCTTTCCCAACGGGTCTAGAGAACCGAAAGCATCGTGCTCTCTCTGAGCGTTTACCTCCTCCAGGCGGCGGGGGGCGCTGCTCTCCCCTGCACTCTGCGGCCCTCTAGCGGCGCCGACTGCTGGGCCGCGAAGAGCGCACGCGCGCACGCCGGCGTCCCGGCCAGTTTACCATTCGGCGCGTGCGCACCGAGTGTGGACAGCTCCGGGGACGTAAGAGGCAGGTAAACCTGCTAATGCTGGCAGGTGGCGGGGGCGGAGCGGGGCGGGGTAGAGTGCGGCCCAGGAAGGGGTTGCTGGCGGTTTGCGCCTGGCAGGTCCCGGGACTCCGGCCTTCGCTCCCCCCTGGGCAAGTCTGGTGGGCTCCAAGCGCCGCTTTTTGCCAGGGGGCGTGACCTGAGCCAGCCTCCAGGGCTGAGAGGCTAGTGGGAGGATCTCTAAGGTTTGTTATTAATTGGGTGTTTGTTCAGGGAGGTTTTCTTGACGAGGGTTCAGAATTTGCAGTAGTAGAAGGGAAGGGCCAAAGCTGGACCAGGTGGGAGCTGGGGTGCCCCGAGTGCCGGGATGATGAGGAGCTGGACAGGTTGGCAGAGGTGGCTCTACTCTCAGGCCGTACGTAGAAGGTAGGGGGGAGGGGGAGCACTGCTACAAAATGAAGGCCTAGTAGAAATTGGTTGGGATCACACTTAGGACAGCAATTTGGTCATCTTTGTGTTTTCCTTTTCTCACTGATACAGTTTCTTCTCTCCTTGTGCAGTGTGGCCGTTAACATACACTACCTTGACTCTACATTCTAGGACATGACAGAGGTGGCACATCCTGGCCATGGGGTCTCAGCATTCCACCTCTGCTCGCCCTCCTTCCTACAAGCGAAAGAAAGATGACAGAGAGGATATGCTGGATGAACGGGAACAGGAAGAAGCCATTGCCCAGTTCCCATATGTGGAGTTCACCGGGCGGGACAGTATCACCTGTCTCACGTGCCAAGGGACAGGCTACATTCCAACAGGTGAGAATCTCTGATCCTGGAGAGGGTGATTCCCCAACGAGAATCCCAAGGTACCCAACGGGCTTCTTCTGTCTCCTAGACAGAGCATTTATCCTAGGCACGTGTGTCATAGTTGCAGATGGTGCCCTGAACAGGAGCCCACTCAGCTGACTTGATAAATTTGGGAAACCTTCTTTTGGTTTCTTTATATTTGAGAGCCTTTCTTATCTTCAATTCCTCTCTTTTGTTCTTTGTTTCCTTGGTTTGGAACATTTGGTTTTGTTAAAGAACAAAAATTCAGTCGAGTAAATTTGAAGATCTAATTGTAGTGAGCAATTCATAAATTGAGCAGCATCCCATTTAGCAAGTACAGAGGAGCCCAAAGAAGCTTTACAGTGTGGAAGGCTTTTATAGGCAGAAACTGTCTTAGCAAAAGAAAAGAGGATTGTTTCAGGCAAAGGGGATTGTTCTTGGGGGTAGGGCTTGTGGGGCTCCATTTTGGGCACGTGGTTGTCTCTTTAACAGTTTGCTGTGCATCATGGGATTTATTGACAGGCATATTTCTTTATTGCTGTCACTTACAAGACCTGGCACAGCTTTGCTTGGTGGGAGGTGGGGACCACCTTAGAAGCTTCTGTCCGAGGAAACAGATGGTGAATCATTAACAACCTAGGATCTGAAAAATATGTCTGTCAAGGGGGGAGAGAAAAATGCTCAGAAGTGGAGCCTAGATTAGGTGCAGAATTATATATCACAAAGCGATTCTCAGAAAGTCACCACAGTTTAGAGAGTCACAAAGGTTTAGAGCGTTCATATTGGAGGTGAGGAGATGGTGGCCTAGAGAGGTAATACCTTCCCCAAGGCCATGCATGAAAGCCAGAACAAGATCCTCGATTTCTCAATTTCCACGTCACTGCCCTGGCAGCACTGATAGATATTTTGTAATTTGTGGCACTCTGTAGAGATTTGCTTATTTCTTGTTTATTAGACCCAGAACGTGAAACTAATATCTTAGAAATGTCTAATCCCAAACAAGAGTATGTTGTGGCAGGCTAATGTGTGATGTGAAGGAAAGGACTGCCAACACTTAGGATTTATTTTACCAAAATAATGTTTGGTTCTTTTACAGAGCAAGTAAATGAGTTGGTGGCTTTGATCCCACACAGTGATCAGAGATTACGCCCTCAGAGAACGTGAGTTACCTGCCTCTCTCCTGTTAATACCTACTTCTATCTGTGGCCCCATTTTATACATATGAATGCCAGTTAACTCTGAAAACTTTTATCTGTTCTTGGATAGTCCTCCATTTTCTTTAATACTATTTCTTCAAGAAAGATATCTCTGACCCCAGCACCGTCAGAGGGAGGAAACTTGAAGCTAGAAACCTTTTGAGGGCCAAGTGAAGGAATTCGAAAGAATTGGAGAAGAGGGGTGTCCTAGGAGGTGAAAAAATGTTTTTGTCTGCGCAGCTCCTCTCTTCAGCTTCCCTTCCCAGATTGCAAATAGCAAAGGCTTCTGCCACTCCACGTATTCTTGCCTGGTTTGTGTTCCCTAGCCCTTTGTACTTTCCTCTTCCTCCCCCATCAGTCCTGGGTGTGCGTTTAACCTTAACCAATTGGACCTTGATGTCTGACTACCTGAGTTGGTCATGTGCTTTATCTTTGCAGTAAGCAGTATGTCCTCCTGTCTGTCCTGCTTTGTCTCCTGGCATTCGGTTTGGTGGTTTTCTTCCTATTTCCACATTCAGTCCTTGTGGATGATGATGGGATCAGAGTGATGAAAGTCACATTTAATAAGCAGGACTCCCTTGTAATCCTCGCCATCAAGGTAAGACTCAGGGACTCTCTTCCTGGGTTGTGCACCCGCAAGTCTTGGCCCCAGGAAACTTACACTTGTTTCCTCACTTGCCCTGATGCAGGCCACCCTGAAAATCAGGAACTCCAACTTCTACTCTGTGGCAGTGACCAGCCTGTCCAGCCAAGTTCAGTACATGAACACAGTGGTTGGGTCATATGTGACAACGAACATCTCCCTCATTCCACCTCGGAGTGAACAACGGGTACGCTGTCTTAGGATCCTTGCCCCAGAGAATAGGGGGGCTGTGGGAATGCCATAGCTTCTGTACTTTCCCTTTCCTCTCATTTCCACTTGTAAGAACTGGTTGATGAGAAAGACCCGGAAGGCTCTGTAACTATGACAAATTAGGGGGAAAAATCAGCCAACATTTAAGTATTATGGGGAACAAAAGAATAGGTAAAAGAAAGCAATTTGGTACAAATCAACAAGTGGCAGAATGATCGTCTGAGGTCCACCGGCCTCTCAAAAGGGAAGAGGTCGGAAGAATGTTAGAATCTCAGTCTAACATTCTGTATGTGATAGAAGGGTGCTCGCAGGTCTTTGGATGCTAATGATAATACCATTCTGTGTCAGTCCTGCTTGGCCACAGACTGACGCTGGTTTTTCTTTTCAGGTGAATTTCACGGTGCAGGCGGAGATGGGAGGACCATTTTCCTATGTGTAGTAAGGACACTGTTCTCTCTCTGTGCTCACCACTGGATGAAAGGAATTTAGAGTTGTGCTCATTTGATTGGGGCTAGTCCTGCCTTAAGTCCTAGTTTTTGGCTTATATGTTCCCCAGCTTTGGCTGCCTTGAGATTTATTTGGAGGAGTTTTGTTGGGGTTTTTTTCACCTTTATTGTATTACAGATGTCCCTCCTCCATGCTCACCTCACCCACCAACCCTCACCCACCTTCACCACACCCCTCAACTGTGTCCATTGGTTATGCATAGATGCATATCAGTTCTTTGGTTTAACTCTTTCCGCCCCACCTCACCCCCCTTCCCTCTGAGGTTTGTCAGTCCCCTTCTTTCATGTCTCTGGATCTATTTTGTTTGTCAGCTTATTTTGTTCATTGTATTCTACAAATAAGTGAGATCATGTGATACTTGTCTCTCTGGCTTATTTCACTTAGCATAATACGCTCCAGGTCCCGGAGGATGATTTTGGGGGGGGGGGGGGGGGGCGGGGATATGCGACTGAATTGCTAGAATATCTAAAAGAGAGCATTAAGCCCCCAGAAACATTTGCAAGCTCCAGCATTTATATGATGAGTTTGAAAAACAAGAAGTATCATGGCGTGGGAGGATGAAAGGCGCTGTGGGGATTGGGAACTAGTGAGCCGTGGCAGCTGAGGTCAGGAGAGGCTGTGTGGGGGAGGTGCCGCGTGGGGGAGGTGCCACACGCAGGGCTGACTGCTCCACAGTCTGATAGTGAACTCTGTACTCTTCTGCTGATTCTCTTTTGCTTTTGTTTTTTTAAACTAAACTGACTCTTTTCATATTTGCTGTTTGGTAGTTTCTTCTGCACATTACCCGATATCCAGGTGCACAACATAGTGATCTTCATGAGGTACGTTGCTCTCCTTCCTGTCCCGTGGCCTTTGTGTTTGAGCCTGGACCATCAGGCTTGTCCTTTTTGGGAGATCCCATGTGACCCACATGGCAGGGGCACCTGACCAGAGGGGCACACCTGACACCATCAGGCACAGACATAGTAAACTCTGGGTGTCCTCTGCGTGCCATGTCCAAACCCCCTTTGCAAATCACCAGACTCACAATGAATAGATACATAATGTTTTCCATGAAACAAGGTCCACTTCTGTGATCCCTTTAGAACCCTAATGAGACTAGTCAAGAACAAAAAATTTCCTCAAGGTATAAGTGCTGAGTGTTTGGCCAGACTGACTCTAGCCACACAAATTACCTGCCACAGGTCATAGACCTTAGGGGTGCTCCTGGAACCATGACCGTTAAATTTGCAGGTGATGAGGGTCTGTTGCAGACACTGAAATACGAGGGTGTAGAGCAAGGTTTCCCAGCCTCAGCACTAGTGACATTTTGGCCAAGACAGTTATTTGCTGTGGGTGCTGCCCTGTGCGTAGTAGGCTATCTAACAGTGTCCCTGGCCTCTACCCACCAAATGCCGGTAACACTTACCACCTCCCCCAGTTGTATCAGCCCAGAATGTCTGCAGACATTGCCAGTCTGCTGTGCGGGAAAATTGTCCCCAGTTGAGAACTGCTTTTGTAGAAAGTCACTTCCTGGCACAGCATCTCCGCGGATGTGGGAAGACTCTGGGTTCCTGGTTGCATAACCATGAAGATATGTGTATAGGACACATGGATATTGTTGCCCAAATTTGAAGAAATTATTTGGGCAAGTTTTCATATTTTATCTCAAAAACAGAATCACTTCTTTTTGGTGTCTTTTTCCTAGAACTTCAGTGAAGATTTCATACATTGGCCACATGACCCAGAGCTCCTTGGAGACACATCACTATGTGGACTGTGGAACAAATTCCTCAGCTGTTTAGAAACTGCTTTTGGTTCTTCCATGGCAGCACCTGTCAGAAGAGATGCAGCTTCTGTTCCCAGGACCAGTGTTGTGTGCCTACCCCAGGTGGTAGAAGTAGAGGAGAAACTGGTTCTCTTGATCCCCAGCAAATACCCTCCTGCCACTTGGGAGAAAAACTTGCCTCTGTAGCACCATTTTTGTTTCTCTGAACCAGCAGAATCACTGCCCAGGACCCAGGCTATGCCCAGCAATAGTAGGCACTCAAGGTTTGAAGAATTTAATTCAGATCTTTTCAGCTGTTCTTGGAGCATTATTAACTGAAAGCGTACCGTGTGCTAGGCCATAAACCCATCGAGTGACACAGAGATAGGACTGTTAGTGCAGCTGCACAGCTGTCGTCAGGACTTCATCTGCACAGGAGAGGCAACAGGAGGGGACAATTGAATACACAGAAGAAAGCACAGACAGCACTCAATATGTGACGTTTTTTCATCTGCTCCCAAATGCCTAGGAACTGTAAAAAAAAATCAAAACTTTTTTTTCTTGTGGAAAGTTATATTGTTTTTACCAAGAGTCTATGTGGGGCTTGATTACCCTTCATCCATGGGCTGGAACATGGATTGGGGATTTGGTAGAAAAAATAAACCCTGCTTTTGATTCATCTGTGTCTGCTCTGCTTGCCTGGATGTCTTAGTAGATACGTCTGGGGCACTGAAGACTAGTTGCTTGCTAAGTAGGTCAGCACAGGATGGGAAGGGAAGAGAAGGAACTCCGACTGTACAGTCCCTGGAGGCTGCTCTCACAGAGAACAGCCTCACTTTTCTCCGTTTGCCTCTGGTGGTGACAGGCTGCCCTGTTGCTCTCCCAGAGCAGAGCACTGAATGCCCTCTGGAGGCTGGAAGAGGTAGAGCAGAGATGCCAGAGGAGCGAGAAGCTGCTTGGTGGGAGGAATGACTTCCCCCCACCGACAGCCTGTAGTTCTGATTAAGAAGGCCTGGTTTGAATTTGGAAGTTTCTGGAACCGTGTCCAAGCTCTCAGCCACCGAAGAGTGGGCTCCAACCCCATGATGGCAGACAGTCTGGTTGGGAAGCTTGAGTAGTCAGGTTTCAGAACCCTGCTGAGGTGGCCTTGGGAAACCCTAACAACAGGTGGTGGCAGGGGGTCAGCATTAGTCCTCATTCCCATAACTGGATCTTCAATATTTTCTTAATGATTTTGGCACTAAATCCTCATTTAACTACGGCTAAATTTTGTGACTGTTTTGCTGACGTTGATGTGGTTGAGTAAGCCCAAAGCTGGTGGCTGAAAGCTGAGTTTCAGTGTTACACTGGATCCTTGAATGGCCTGTAGGATACAATAGTGATGACTGTTCTGTGAGTCAAGGATGGAACACGGCCTGTGCGGAAGCAAATGTACACCATTTCTGAGAACATTGCCCCTACACGAAGACCTTCACATTGCTTCATTTCCTCTTTTGTTTTCCCATTTGCCACATGGTCTCTAGCATATTTTTCAGATAATTTTGGAAAGCTACTCAAATTGGTACTTAAGTTTTAATAATTTTTGTGACTGTGCCCCAGTAGCTTTTCTTGCTTCTCCGTATTACCTTTAAATCCAGCTGTGATATTCAAACGAAAGCTCTTGTTTTAAACAGAGCAGTAAGTCAGACCTCATAATGCCATGAATTCTCACACCTATTTATATTCTTAGCATCCCAAGCTGCACTTTGGGACACTCTACATACCTGTGTCATCTATCTGTCAGTTCTTGAACAAATGCACACAATTTACTCTCAGTGACACCAAAGTAGAAAGGGGAAGTGGCTGGCGCAGGTGTCATTGCCATCGCCATTGCATTTCCAGTGGACTGAAACTTGGAAAGAGAGTGTTTCTTGGAAATGAGGCTTCATCAGAGATCTCTTTTTCTCTGTAGCTCCTGGCTCGGCCTTTCCTGCGACCCCTTTCTTGCTCTCAAACTACTTACACTGTGTCACCTGGTTGAAATCTCCATTTGTTCGTTAATTCATTCCAAAAAAAGTATTTATTGATAACATGCTGTATACAAAGGATTGCATTTTCCGGTGTGGTTTGTCCAGAGTCATAGCTAGAAGTTTAAAACATTATTGCAAACCTTTATTATACTCACCAGGCTCAATCTCTTCCTCAACTCCAGTTACCCCAAAGCATGATCCCCTCAATCCCCAGGTCGACTGTCTAGGGATTCTAAACCCAAGTGTGGAACATTTCTGAAAGAATCAGCCTATTTGTAAATGCACTCCATGAATTCTAGGGGTCCCCAAGTATTTTCTCTGTACAAAATAATCCTTATTCTTCGCCTTTACAAGATTCTTCATCGTCTCAAGAGCACTCTTAAGATTCTCTCTGTGTTTCTTCACTTGTTTAGAAGGGGAGGCTATTTCAGAAGTTGTTTTGTAATTTACCCAGGATCTAGGGAACTTGAGTAAGTCTTAGCTGGAGCAGACTCCTGACTCCTAGTTGAAGCCTTCAGACATTTCCAGAGAGACGAGGAAGCTCAAGAGAGGAAAAGTAATCTGAGGCCTCACAATTAGCCAAATCGGTCCGCTCCACCCTGCCAGGGTCAGGATTTTATATGAGAGGATATTCTAACTGGGAAGACCTGCCTTTCCTGGGGTAGCAGGGATCACGGGAATCAGTAGCATGGCCCTGCAAGCCAGGGGGGTGCATTTTGATTTGACGACACCCAGGCAAGGTTTTCTGTTCTTCCCTTAAGCTCTACCTCTGGGTCACTCCCTGATTGCTATGCAGTACTTAACTACAATTTCTAGGTTTTACCAGGTACCCAGGAAGTGGGTAGGCTGCGAGGGATCTGATATCCTGGTGCAAATGGGACTTCTCTTACAAAGGTCTGAGCTGCTGGCCACAACCTACCAAGTTGCTTTAGTAAGAATAAGTAGCTCTGACACGACTGTGGGGAGCAAAGTGAGCTAGAAAGTAGTGTGGGCTCTTGGAGTGTGGTTGACAGGTTCAACCCAAACTCAACTCTTCAGTTCCACTTGTTGCCTAAAGAAATGTTTTAGTGAGCATCTGTACACCTCACTGCTCTCCCCTGGGCCTCCATGATCTCTCCTGATAGATGGAGGGGTTGTTTGTGTTAAACTACGAACTTGACCTTTCTAGTGGAGAAGGTGACAGCTTCCTCATCTTTGCCACATACACAAAAGTCATTGGAAAGCAAGGGACACCTGATGGTAGGGAGAAATGGGACGGTGTCTATTTATAAGACGGATGTTGGGGGGAAGTTCAAAGAAGCTTTAAGTGTAGGTCCAAAAAGTGTAGAATGGGGGACAGAGGTACAGGGGCAGGAAAGAGGAATAGGGGTGAGTCAAGCATTCAACATTCCCACCTCTCCTTGACCTAAAAGTCTAAGAAAAAGACACAAATCAGTAGTTCACCAAGATTGCCTGGTTGTGTGCACTTAGCATGGGCTCCCGTGGATTCTCTTCCTTCCCCTTCTCCTTCCTCCCTGCACCCCTCCCTGGGGAGCATCTCTGATCTCCCCTATCCAGCAAGATGTAGCCTACACATTGAACCATCCCCTGAGCTCAGAGCATATCACTTCTCTAGCACTACTTCACCCTTGAGTCCTGTTCCAAGAACAAGGTCATCCCTCCTCTGTGCCTTCCTTCCCAAATCTCAGTCTCCGGTCCCTGTTTGCCCCTAGGTTCTACACAGTGGCAAGGTTCACAAAAAGAGGCAAGTTTGTGTTTGTGTGAGGTCACTAAACTAGGCAGTTGTGGCTTCAGTGCCCACCCTTTGGTTGAAAAGTCAACAGAAGAAAGCCTTAGGGTGGCCATTTGGTCATGCCTACGGAATCAAGGACTAATGGGAAATAAAGAACAAGGCTCAAGTCAATAGGTACTTTCCAAAAATTTTTTTGTTTTTAATATCAATCGATGTTTTAAAAAATACAGAGGTGTTTGACACAGAATAGCACCATTGTGTAGGACACACAGTTCCTGCGCCCGGCACCTGAAGAGGGGTCTTCTTGCCTGGGCTGGGGGGTAGTCACTCAGGGGGCGTTTGACTCATACCAGTTAGTTTCCTGCCTCTGCTTTGACCCAAAGGTCTTACAGGAAGACAATAAATAAATAGAACACCGAGATTTTATTCTGCAGTCTGCCCAGTTCAGGTTTCTTAGAAAAATAAGGGAGAAAAGTCCAAACTGTGAAAGGGTGGGATGAATGGACATCAGGTCAGGTCAGCCATTCAGTGCAGAGTCCTAGAGTGACTGGGATTGGAAAGTACTTGGGTCCTTTGGGTTTGCAATGGATTGTGTTGTTTCTGGGTTCAGGTTTTTACAAGAAGCAGACAGGCCCTATGTCCACACCAAATTCCTGCTCAGGCCCTCCTATGTCCATGGGTGCAATGTCAATGATGGGGAGGCGCGAGGTCTTCTGTGACCGGTACTCAATCATAGTCTTGCCCCACTTACCGGTGTGTTTCTGGGGGAGAAAGAGAAGAGACACTATTCAGTGGATGCCTTGCAATCCAGTGCCAGCTGCTCAGGATCCCAGACTGAGCATCACAGAACACAAAGTACAAAACACACTCGGTGCCCCTTAGACCTCTTCCTGGCTGGGCAGAGCGCTCTCCACCTCCACTTCTATTCCTCACAGCAGGGCCTCCTCCACCCTGCCTGCTCCCCTACCCACTCCCCACAGTAAGCTCCAGGCCTGTGACCTCCCATCGCTCCATCTCAGTCGGCCCATACACATGACAGGAGTCCTCCTACGAGAGCCATTGGTTACACTGGATATGGCCTTATTTCCCCCAAGCCAAGGGAGGACAGCATACACCTCTCCCTCACTGTCACTTTGCATGTTTTCTCTACCTAACCCCTCACACTTACGCCTCTGAGGAACCCACACTTTACGACCATGACACCTGCTGCTGACCCTCTGCCCACTCTAGCCTGAACCCTGGGCCCCAGGCAGCTCATCTCTCTGGTAGCTCCAGCCAGCCAACTCACCGTGCAGCCATCCTTCAGGACCGTATACGTGAACCTGCTGTTGCCCTCAGCCCGGATCTCCACGTCGTTGGAACCCTGGATGAGCAGGGCCTTCTTGAGGTTGCCAGCTGCTTCATCCAGGTAGGCGATGCTGTTCTTGCAGTGGTAAGTGATGTTCTGGGAGCCCTCGGTGGACAGCAGGCGCAGGAAGGTCATCTGGACGTTGGCAGTGTTGGGAGCCAGGTTGTCATCTCCATAGCTGAACTGTAGAGCAGAGAGCAGTAGTATGAAGCCTGGGAGAGCATTCAGTGGGCCCAAGGGCTTCAGGGACTGCTGAGTGTCCAGGGTTTAGAGCTGAAGGGGGCTGGCGGAGTGGGTCACTAGGAGGATGCTTTTACTCCAGGGTGTAGAGCAAGCCTCCAAGGACTTTTTCTCCAGCTCTAGATTCCTCCTCTCTCCTTCCTCTTAAGCCCCAAAGAAAACTGGTGAGACTGTGAACAAGGTGCTAAGAAACTTCCAGGGAGAAGGAAGACAAAGATTGGAGGAGCCATCCCTGGCCTAGAGCAACCAGGCACTCACGTGGAAGCCACCATTGATGGTTTCTCCAAACCAGATGTGTTTCCTGTCTTTGCTCTTGCTGCTCCACCAGTTCTTCTTGGGAACGTTCGCTG